GACCCTAAAAAATTTAGAAAATTAATATTTATCTGCCCCGGTTGCCTACCATGCGGCCCTCGATGGCTTACCAAAACTTAGTAAGCAGGCCTCTGCCCAAAATAATTGCCTGCCCATGCTTTAAAACCTATCTGTATTAATCAGGGGTGGAGATCCATTTCCATGCATTGGTACAAACTTTGTCAACTGCCAAAATCTGGAAGAATTTGTTTTTCTCATTTGGCCAGTCACCGTGCATGAAACAATGTACTGGATGCCCAATTATATATCCAATATGCTGATACTTGTTGTCTTTTTCCTCCCCTTTCTCTGCTCCTGGAAGATACTCTTCACTCTGAGGTAAAACAATAGCACAATGTTTGAGACAAAGGGAACAACTTTGTTGGTTTAGCCAAAGGAACATGGTGCCTTGTCAATCATTTCATTAACTTTTCATGCATCAGGGATGTTTTCCTTATTTCTCTTTGTTTGGGCACTCTGACCTGCACTATCCCTTTCTGCTGACTGGCACCAGAAGCTATAAATCTACTGTGGGACTAATGGAACCTTAGGAACCTAAAATGAGATTTCATTGGAATTAAAACATCTAAAAAAATACAGAAAACCCCTGTTCCAGCAACTGCAAAACTCGTTCAGTACCTACATTTATTCAGTTCCTACTTTTTGATCCTGAAGGTTCCTGGCTTGTCTGAATTTTGGCGGTGTGCATTGCGAGCAACTCTGCGCTTATTTCCTATCTAACGTCCATCGCAATCCAGAAATGAAGCAGAGCAGTGTCTGAACTCAATCAGAGTCTGAACCCAAGTCCCAGTAGGGACCTGGTCCAGCAGCATGCCTAACACATACCAACAGTGTTCAGTCCAACACAAAGCATAGCTGCCACAGTCCCTTTCATTGAAAATCAAGTGTGACAATGGAGGTATGAGTGCCCCTTGTGTATCCTAGCATTGTGGTGGGAGTACTACACCAGAACACAGACCGCAGTGCTTCAGACCCACAACTTAATGCTTCCCAGGTCTGGGGGCACCTCCCATACATTCTGGGACATCTAGTGTGTATTCCTGATGCAAGCCTGAAGTTCAGATAACATCTTGGGCCCAGTGCTTCCTGCTGACTTGCTCCACATTTCTTTCCACCTAGCACAAAGGTTTTAATGAATGACCATAACTCTTCCTACTGTCTAGACAGGGGTCATGGTTGCTTAACTCTTTTTCTTCGGATCACCAACCAGGTGCCAAACTTTTAGGTGTTTCAGTGCCTAAGTTGGAATCTAAGGTGCCTTTCCAGGTGTGACCAAACTCAGCTTGAAGCCTGTTGTACATTCAAGCACAGCCTGTGACGTATGAAGTACATCCATTCCCTCTGCTATAATGGAGCTCAGCAGGTTCTCAATCAATTCCTAAACAAAAATATCCTGAGCCTCATAATTGAGTAAATTGCTGTTGCACTAGGTCAGCCACTGTGAGAAATGTTTATTAGGTAGAAAAACAGTCGCCCTACTGAGCAGTGTATTGGGCAGCTCTTTAGAACACTTTCCAAGTTAAACACATGGTGGATATTTCCTTTAATCACTAAAGCTGCTGTTCTTTCTACTTAAAGGTTTAGGACCTATGGACTTTCCAACTTCACCCCCTCGTCCTCCCAAACCCAGATGTGAAGCCACCTCCTGTTTCAGAGGAGTCAGGTGCACAGAAACAGCAGATGGATTTCAGTGTGGTCCCTGCCCTGAAGGGTTCACAGGAAATGGAGTTACGTGCTCAGATACTGATGAGGTAAACTATTGACCTGTGAAAAGAAGAAAATCATCCCAACTCATTTATTGCAGTAATGGGTCACTGACTCATGCTTTTTTCAGCACTTGCTAGCTGGCTGTATGGTGAATATTAATGCATTCCAGGCCTGTTATCCACTATGTTACATCAAAGTTACATGGCCATTACTCTGTTAACCTGAGTGAATATGTATTTTCATTTTACTCCTCTCAGGTAATGTCATCTATAAGAGGAAAAAAGATGCGAGTTTAACAGCTTTAGAGATTGAAGTCCACTGTTCAGCCACAAAATGGCCCAGATTTTCAATTTAACCTTTTGCTGACAAGAAAACCTAAAAAGTTAATTTGAAAAATGTATTTTGAGGGATCTATATTAGAGGTTCAAGTCTTGCTCACCATTGAAGACTTGAGAATTAGCAGTTTTATGACATCTGGTAAACCAAAGAAGTACAACCAGATTACTTGAAAGAAATAGTAACACATTTAACATACACAACACAATTCCATACCTTTTCTTGGTCCTGATATTTCCATTGTTTCATCCTGATTACTGTAGAAAGACATCATAGTATAATGGACTAGAGAATCAAATTCTTTGTATTTTGTTTAATCCCTGTCTGACTATACAGTTTGGTGGGAGGGAAGCTTTCTATGGTAAGGATTTAACATAGCCACATCCACCCTTTTAACTGTGTGCAGAAAAAGCTCCTAGCCATAGCAAAGGAGTGCTTCTCAAGTAATTACAAATAGGAATAGCAATCTTCCTCCTTTCTCAGAGAGTAGAAAAAATAACAATACTTTGATGAGTTTACAGGCATTCATGCTGTTGCATGTATATATTTTGTGTGCCAGAGAGAGGCTTTGAAGTATCTATTTCTGTGTGTTATTGAAAATCTTGCGCAGTAAGATCTAAGTTAAAGAAATAACTTTTGCAGTTACCTGATTTGTGGGTGGAGACAGGCATGAACGCATGGCCTGATGTGAATTGTGCCTATGGTAAAGTTGGGTGCTAACGTGGAGGCAAGACTTAGACCAACTGACCCATAGATGTATATAGACAATAGCTGTGTGAGCTTTTCCACATTACCTTGCTACTCTGACTCAGCCCAAGCCTGGATGGACCTTATGAATTTGAAAGGGCTTTTCAGTCTCCAGAGCCTTGTTTGAGGAGTTAAGCAAAAATGTACTACCATTACTAACGCTGGAGCAGCTTCAGTGGTAGCTCTGATGGGAGAACAAATGCAGATTGGTTTCTGTTGCTCTTAACACTTCACATTTGCTATGGGCAGGTTGAGACCCCACAATGTTAAAACACTGATATCATACGAGCCTTGTCTACACTAGTGCTCCTACCATTGCAGCCCTGAATTAACAATAAAAACAATGAGAATTCTTACCAAAAAAGCTATAATACAGATTCAATCCATGTCCATTCAGTTCTTGGCTTTTATGCTAATTCTGCCAATGAATTAACCACTTAATGTGGAGCTCATTGTTTACAAAGATGCATGTCTGCTAGATGTTGGACTTATGTGTACTGCATGTCTCGCGTAGGCTGCCATTTGATAACAGCCTTCAGAGAACGGCTTCGAAAGAATCTCAGGGTACATCAGGGCATGGCACCCTGGTTGAGAATAACTGCCCTAAGTTATCCAGTGACCTGCTAAAGAAAGTGTAAGAGTTTTCTGAGAGTAGTCTAGGATTCCTTTCCTTTTCATAGGATAACATCATTTCCCTTCTATTTCTGTACTTCATGGAACCTAGTATTTAAAAGAGTTCATATGCAGTCACAGTTAAAGATCCTAAAATCTCTCTTCCGAGTGGGAACCATCCTTAACACTTTGTGAACCCTTGACACTGTTAACATCTTTCTACCAAGGGCCCCTTACCCCTAAAGAACTGTTGCTTATTTGGACGTCTATATCACAACCATAAACTACAAATTGAATACACATCCATCTTGAGCTGGATGTCGCCGTTATATTGATAGAAGCTTCTTGAGTGCCCTCTACTGGCTAATTTAACTAAAAATCTGAAAATTGAGAGCTACCTGGGCTTTATGGACAAGATACCTGTCTTAAGTTTTAATTCATATTGTACTAATCAGGAATGTGCATTTATTATACCTTTTATTTTTATTAGATCTAAAGCAAAATTTGCCTCTACTCCTTTAAGATAATTTTCATGGTTGGTAGTTTGTCACGGTAGTATTCAAATATTATGTTTACGTGTTAAAGGACAAAAAACACAGGGGACGTATAGTGCATCATACATGTTTATTTTATATACCAACACAGAGTTAATGGTGGAGGAATTAATGATGGAAAGAGAAGAAATCTTTTAAAAATGTGTTGATTTTCTATTTGTTTTTTTCATCATATTTTAGGGAGAAAAAAATCAACCTCTTCAGTCTTTATATACAAATTTGGAAATTAATCATGCTGGTTTTGGAGAATTAACAAAACCAGGCAGGATTGTAACGTGATACGAACTATCTTTACCAATTAATTTCCAGATGTCATTCATATTTTTCCCTACCTCCAATTCGTACAAACAACAGCAAAACACTGCTGTTTAAATGCGCACAGTATTAGATACTGGTAGGAAATCATGCCCCAGTGATATCACAGTTTCTGTCATTATGTGGCTTTCCACTACTTATCTTAGTCCTGACAACTCCAGTGGTACTTTAATGGATTTCTGTGGGAGATGAATCCATATAACTGAAGGAACAATTGAGCTCGTAACTTAAGGGTACTAGCATAGTACCTCAAGATTATAGTAGTTTAAGACAGTTCAAAATTATTTAAATGCTACTTAACAATAATGGACCAGACCCTATTCTGCCTTTTTGATGCATAAGGACACTTAGATGCTTAAGTGGGATCCTATTCTACCCTGCCCAAGTCTCTGAAAACCATTAATGCAAAAGAAGATCCTCCCTTTCTCATGGCTTTCTATGACTTCCTTTTAAGGCTAAGATGAAAGCATGTTATGAAAATGGATGAAACCGTATGTTTTTTTAGAGACTTCAGTAGGGTGTAATAGGATCCCATTTAAGCATTTAAGTGCTGTTAGATGGTTGATAGGTGGAATGGGATCTGGCCCCCAACTTATTTTGAAATTTGAGCAGTCATCAAATGCTAGTGAATCCCTGACATGTTAAATGTTTGGTTTGTCTTTCTAGTGCCGCTATAACCCATGTTTTCCTGGGGTTCAATGTGTGAACAGTGTCCCCGGTTTCAGATGTGAGGCTTGCCCCCCTGGATATAAAGGGCAGACAGTCCAGGGGGTAGGAATCAACTATGCCAAGAACAATAAGCAGGTGGGTGTTTACATTGCTCTATTGTTGCACTTAAAAACCGAGTTTCTAACCTAGTGCTTTATGAATGATGCAACACATGATTGATGAGTATCAGAAAGGCTTGCTTTAATAACTACCAACAAGATAAAAAAACTAAATGACAGAAAAGACTCTTTCCCAATATAAAATAAG